AAGGCTGGCTGGGGAATTCTGGGAGTTGAAGTCCACCCATCTGTAGCTGCCAAGGTTGTGAAACCCTGGTCTAGATTGATCAGATTATACAACCTCTGACTACGTCCTTTTCCCTGGATGCTGGAGAATAAGCAGTGATTCTCCTTCAGGCGTTAATTAATAATAGCTTATGTTCATCGTTTGCAAAAAGTTTTGTTCCTTTCAACTAAATTGGAAGGGGAAAAAAATGTAGATTCAAAGATGCCCTTTTTTCATCCATTGTAGCATGCTTGGATTCACATGTAAGAGGTAGGCTTCATAGTGTGCGTAAACTGAGATTTTGGCCACGACAATCCAATCACGCTTCCATGTTTTGTGCTACTCCCATTAAACTACATTTAGCCTATATACGGCTAAGTCTAATTTGGTTAATACAGGAGCCACACCCTTCTACAAAATATCAAATTTATTTATATAAAATATTTTACACATTAACTGTACACATGCACACGCCCACACAATACTTTACCACGAGTTTAGGCCATGTTTTTGTCCCTTTAATTACATAAATCTAGTACACTATATTATTTTACAAGAATTTACATTATATTTCTTTGAAGACACAATGGGGAAAAGCTCTGATCATTCATATTACAAACCTTCCATCAATTATAAAACAAAGGCAGTCTGAAAAGTATGTATAAACAGTAAAAAGAATTTATAAATGGTTACAAAAGTGTTAACAGCCAAATATCTCTTCCCCCAGCCAGTATACGGTTGCTGTGTGTCTCCATATATTTCTCTCCGGTCACAATTAGGGGTCATACGTGACAAATTCAGCCTTCTAATTCTGGCTAGCCGTGGCCAGTGAATAATGCAACTGTTTTGTAGGACTTCCTTCTCTGTGTCTGACTCAAACATCCTTCGGAGATCAACCATATGGGAACCCAAATCAGCGCCCACCTTGAATCTGCATTTTGAAATGCACGTTTGTTTCTGCGGTCATCGGTTTATTTTATTTTATTTTATTTTATTTTTTTAGTGTACTTGAGAGGCTGAACAGCAGAGCTAACACAGATGGTGGAAAAAAATGAACCTTTGCACAACAGTTTCAAACTCCCAAGAATTATATCAGACACGAGCGGAGTCAATCGCGTTTAAATGATCTGCGTCTCGGTGAGAATGGAACCACAGGTCAATACATTAGTACAGAGAAACTTTACGCTGTATAGTTCAGACAGTACAAATAATTGTGCATTTATAAGGCAAACATCAAGGCAGAACAAACTAGGAGTTTCAAGACCATTTATGCGTAAGGTGGTGAACAAATAACGGGGATCAAAAACAAAGTTTTTTTTTTCTCTCCACTTTAAGGGAGGTGTTGGGCTAAAAGTGGAAATAGGAAGTGAAGTCCCTTAGGGTAAAGGGGTTGGTGCAGGTTAAGCTCCTTAATCCCATCTTCTCCTCTTTAATTTTTGTTTTGAAAAGCACGTTAGCAAAATGCTTTTAAGCAGCACTGTTAATGCTTCGAGACCAATCCAGACAGGTTTCTGGAAACAACAGAACGCACTTAATAAAAGGGGGGCAGGTTCTGTTTCTAGAAAGGCGCTGAAGATAGTCATGAAATCCCTAGTTTTGGACATTTCTATTTCGGTCTGTATAGGTCTATGTTTTTTGTTTTGTTTAAAAAAAAAAAAGAAAAAAGTCTGAAGATTTTTACAGGACGTCCAGAAGAACGCAAAATCATTTCACGGCACCCAGTCTTTTCAGAAGTTTCTTCCCCTTGGAAAGGAGCCCCTTTTTCTTTTTCGAAGAGAATTCCCTGCCTCTCCCGAGACCACCAGAACCCACAGTTGGCGTAGGTGACCCCGAGTGGAGATGGACTGCGGGGGTTGGTGCCCTCCTTGGTGTACCTGTATTCTCAGGAGGAACCTGATAGGTATATTGTTACAGTTTACTGAATGGTTGAAGTCACTGATCACAAGAAAGCTGGTAACATTGCTTTTTCATTCATTAAACACACGCACACACACACACCCTTGGGCGGGGGCAATTATCCTTCTTTAAAAATTATTTATTTCAAGTATGCCACATGACAGATCGGTCTGGTTTCCCCGAGGATGTGAAAGCCCTAGGCTGGTCTATGATTGGATTGGGTTTACGTTAAAGACGCAGCATACAAAGCTGAAGGTTTCCACGTTTCTTTAGAAGACTAGCCTCGGGAAAAGGACTTATTTTAAAGAGGGACCTGGATTTTGCCCCAAATCCCCTTGCTTCTCAGGAGGGACCCTGAGGAACGAGGAGGAGGGAGCTGAGGACTTAACTCATGGCAATAGCCCGTTTCCAGGAAGGACCGTCCAGGGTTAGGAAGAAATAAGAACAGTTCAATTCTGGATCGGGTTCCGTGCTTTTTAATCCAGCCCCCTTGCCACCTTTTAGCATCCTGTCTGTACTTATTTTGAGAAGATGGCACACTGGTTGAAAGGAAAAAGAGAAAACCAAACTAAAACGAACCTTAATTACAATCAAAGAAAGCTCTCAGACCTTTGGTTGAACGTGCCTGGGTTTCACTACCCAGACCACACATCTGGGATCGCTCGTCGAGCGAATAGGATGACACAGCTATGAAAATTGCTTCTTTCCCCAAGTGAAAAAAAAAAATTATGGAGCGCCTAACGACGCCCAACCTCCCTCAATGTTGCCAGCGTGTTTAGCTGGCCTGGCGGCTCGGGCATTTGGGTGGTCTTGTTAAGCCAAGGGGGTCACAAGCTTGCTTTGATCTCCAATCAAGGTCTTGGTCAAAATGGGGGAAGCAAAAAGGACTCTCTTCCTCAGCACAACCCCAACATACACCTGAAGATACCATCTCTGGAGTTCTAATGCATTCGCCCACAGATCTCAGCTGCACGTTTTCCTTTCGGCTTATTGCATTGATGAACCAAGGAGCTGCTGAGCGCTTTGCAAACGGGGGTAGAGGGGCAAGCTTCAAAACGTGGCGTAGTTTGGACTCCGCATTACTGGAGAGATAACCGTGCACCAGGAGAGATGCTTTTAAGGCAAACTTACAACCAGATATTTAAGGTTAGTGTGTTTTCAAAAGAAGGAACCCCAGCCCTCTCTTCCCACTGCCGTACTCTTTACATGATCGGCTTTTGCTCAGCAGCAATTTCTGTTTTTCTCCCAGATTAACTAACAATGCAATATGCAGCTTTTCTTTGGAGTCAGACACTAGGAACACTCTTTATGCAAACAAGCATGAAGTCCAGTAAGAAATATGTTCCAAATGTTCAACATTTCCCCCCTGTGTTTTTTCAGCGAACCTAAACCCTGAACACAAAGACCTTGAGACAAAGGTCGATTTGGGGGTTCTTTTATAAATCTCTATACCACAAACTTTCCTTTCCAAACTTAGTGCCCTCTACTGCTGCTGGACTAACAGTCCGGTGGCTGGCCGCCTGGAGGTGATAGGAATTGTAGTCCACCACAGCTAGAAGGCATCAGATTGGGAAAGGCTGCCCTAAAAGTTTTGTTTTTTTAAAAAAAAATCTGGAACCAGGGCTAATGATTTTGGAGACATATTTCTCTTTTTCTGCACATTTCACGTGCCAGGAAGGCTCGCATTAGATAATGCCAACTAGAGGAAATCGGTGTATCTACTGGTATCTTCAGTTGCTCACTTACGTGAAGGCAACGTTGCCTTTTTTAAGGTGTGAAATGAACACTCTTCTTCTGTTCCCAAGCAGATGAGCAAAGAAATAAAAATATACATAAAATATAATATAGGAAAAACTGCAATGATGAGAGAAGACACATGAAACCCTTCAGAAGCGAGCATCTTTATGCAGCTCAAAACATTTCTTAGAAATTTGAGTTTGGGTGATGGTGCCTGAAGACTTTTACCCATCTCCCAGCCTACTGTCTTAAGTAATTCTACAGCACGTCCATATTTTACAGATATAAACTTCAGTGTTAGATTCGGGAATCTAAATGTTCAATGTGGGGGACAAATATATAAAAAAGATTAGTGGCTTCTACATTGGCATGAGATTACTGATGGAAGAAACAAGTTGTTCTATAGCAAGGAGCTGGTTTTCTCCCCACCTTCAGAATGGTCTAAAAACTTAGTTTTAAAAATGTTTTTTCTTAATATATACATATATACACAAACACATAAAGCCAAACAGAATCTGAAATGGTGGGCAAGGGGAAAGAAAACCAAAACAGAAAACAGTTTTTGTTTTTCTTTTCTCAATGCTTGCTTACCCTTTTTGCTTTTGTACGTATTGGCGCATCTTGAGGGTATCGCGATGGAGCATCAGATAAGTAGACGTCAACATCATCAGGCACTTCTTCAAGAAAATTTGAAGGAACAAGACCCGTCTGGCAGTTAAGTTCCCCCTGGAATGTGGAAGTGATGGAGGAAATTAATGAACAAACAAGGACCCTTCAGAAGTTCCCACCACACACTGATTTCCCCATGGATCCAATCAATCAAGTTATGGAAGATAGACATTGAAAGATGTTGAGAGATGGAGCAGATTCTGGTCCACATGTCCAAGTGCTAAAGGGCACTAGTTTAAGTGAGTCAAGGGGAAAAAAAACAAAGGTCATTCTTGGCCCACCATCCTTCTTAGGTGACAACCTTTCTTCAAGTTCCTGGTTGTCAACAAAGAGGTTCAAGAAATGTTTTGTACACCATTAATACAGACCGGGGGAAGAATATAAATAAAGCACTTACATAATAAAAGCCATCTTCATCAATTTCTCCGAAGACTGTAATAATGTCTCCTGTACAAAATGTGAGCTCAGCCTGTGGAAATGATAGAACCATCACTTTTTTTAGGATTCCATTTTTTAAAGCTCTCTTCCAGTGTTTCTTAAATGTTAGGCTAGGTCAAGAACACATCTAGTGAAGAGGGTGCACCCAAGGATGTTCACCAGCATAGATAAGAAGGTTATTGTTTGTCTCTATATTGCTTCACTCTGGATACTCAAAGCATGTGACTTGTAATTCAGGAGGTAGCATTCTATCTATCAAGACTATTAGCTATGATGTCAGCCCTTCAAGGTAGACCAAACTTGGAAACCAAAGATACACAAACTAATACAACTTTTATTATAAGGTTACAGTAACAGAATTTTGCAAGTCCAAATGCATTCGCTCCCTCCTTCCCTTTATCTTCAAGAGAACAAGGGAGAGTCATGTCTGAGACGCTTTCTCAGGTTACGGTTCTGGCCCAGACTCAGATTTCTCTTATCTGACTGTCGTCTTGGTTGCAGCTCTTCCTCCTGTTCCTGAAGATTATTCCTTCTACCCATTACATATGGATAGCCTGATACTCCATAAATTTGTCCAGTCCCTTGTTAAAGTCAGCTAAATTGGTGGCTATCCCAGTATCTGATGACAACTAATATCATGATTTAATTATGTGTCGTGCAAAGAAATCTTTCCTTTCTTTGATCCAGAAGCAAATGTCTGCTATACCATCTCCCCATTCAGATTCCTATGTCTGTCTGATCCCACCTCTTTTCATTTAGCCATTCTGTTAAAGTTTCTCCTCCAACCTTTATGAATCTCAACCTTCCCCAAGACCCAAGCATCACCATACTCCTGCAATATAACGTGAACTTTGGGATAACTGTAGCCAATGGTCCAGGAAAAAAATTCTGGACAGACTTAAACCCAGGCAATGATTTTCAACCCACCCTTCTTGTCCCCTGATTGGATGCAGTGGCCATTTCCCATAGCTTTTGTTACAAAACAGAATGTTTTGGATTTGCATCCATGACCACAATACCTCCACATCAACATTAGGAGAGCTTTCCCTTGGATCGTAATCATATAATGCAACCATTCTTCTTGTGGATGACCCAGGTGGACGGCTACTTCTTCTGTTCCTTTCTGTTCCAATCCAAAAAGAGAAAGCTATGGCAACTACTTTTAAACAAACAACAAGCAATTAAATTGCAAAAAGCAAAACTTGCATATTTCTCCCTTTCCTGTTACAGAAATGGCCATTACATTAGATATGCATGCACACATTTTTTTTTCCCTGATCAGCAAAGAAAAAATCCAGATCAGCCATTGCTCCTTATAAAAATCAGTGTTCATACACTGATGCCAAGCCTTTGTGTGGAAAGGGGAGCGGCATTCTGAGATGAATTTTGACTTCCAAATAGAGGAGAACATGATAGTCTTTTTGGCAAGAGAAACCATGTGTGTTGGCAGCGGCAGCAGCATCTTACAAGGGATGCTTGGACCAGACTTGATGAAGACTATCAAGACCGAAGGAAAAAACTAAGAATAGGAAATCTGTGGATTTGATAGACCAGGTAGAGCCAGAAGACATGGAACAGCTGAGAGGGTGTATCCTCACCAAAGACTTTAGAGAAGATTCAAACATGCTGGAATGTGGTTGAGGTGAGGAACAGTTGTAACTCGCAATAAAACCCTGATTCTGACTGATTTCAAAATGATTGACTGTTCTAGTTCAATGTGTTGTGGGAACACAAGTAATAGGAGGCCTGATCTCAAACCTGGAAACCGTTTTTCTATTGTGACAGTAGCAGTTGAAACGAATGTGGTCAAGCCACTAGTTCCACTCATATCAATAGGCAGGTGCATGTGCTTACCAATTTTCTCTATGGGGGTATTGAGAGGGAGAAACCCTTGCTTCAGAAGCTGCTCCATCATTTCTTGATCGTCAGCCTGAATTTCAGAAACCATATTGCAAGGAATAAGGCCCAGTCTTGCACAGGTTTCTCCCCGGTAGAACCCATCAGCATCTTTGTCCCCATAAACCTGAGGATGAGAAGAGAGAGGATGCAAAAAGGAACCTGGTTAGAATTCGCAAAGGTTAATAGCAGGGATTTATCTACCACCCATCCTGTATAAATTTCTCCAGGAACTTTTTGAGTGTTGGTTTCAGAAGTCCTATTTGGGTTATGGCCCTGCCCTGACTTAATTGCAAGAACAGTCATGAATTGCAATGTGATCAATTTACCCTTCTGAGTGGAATTTCTGAATTGAATCAGATGCTTTTCAGGGGATGCTGTGATTTGAGGCACAATGTGTGTCCACAATACATCTTGTTCTAAGTCTAACCAATGACTTGAATCAAATAACTTCAGCCATTCAATCCAATGATTCTAATCAAACCAACTCATTCAAATTGAACTAGATGTTGGGTGATTTGCACTCCCCAGCTGCAAGATTGCAGTTAGTTCAACATATATCTAATATACCCTACCTTGATAATTTGTCCTTCTTTAAATGGAAGTTCTTCTGTTGCATCAGGATTTGGAGACATGGTCAGTGGGTCATAATCAAAGAGGGCGACAAAGATGCGTGTGGACATCTCTTCTGCTCCAGGATCAGTTTCTGATTCTTCATAAATCTCTGGAGACAGACGGTCACGACTACTGTACCCATCTGGAAAAAGAGAAACAGGGAACAGAAAATTGGTTATACAGAGGTAACAGTCATTATGACCTGCTTGAGTTTTGAAATCTCAGTATGGACTTCTCTACAGCATAGTCTGACTTCTCCAGCAAAGACCTAAACCTGTTCCAGGAATTCAAGAAAGCGAGGAAATGCAAAATAAAACTTCCTGGATTAAATCCAATTTTAATACTTCAGTCAACACCCCATTTCAATGAATGGAAAGCAAACAATGCTTCTGAGAAATCCATAAACAGGGCTGGGCTTCAGAATATGGAGAAGTTATTGCCAATAACTTAGCAGAACCATGTGAAGCATGAATTCAAAGATTTGATCTGAAGCTGCTTCACCTGACTCTCTGGATCCAATTGCAAAGTCAAGTCAAATCATCAAACCAAACTGGACGTGTTTGGGAATTTTCCCTAAATCAGTCCAGAAATCTGAATTGTCCCCAATTAATTCTAATCAAATTGGGGCCAATCTGCACACTGCTACTAATTCACTGTTGTCTAAAGCAGTCCCTTCTGGTTTCATGCATGGTGTGGGGAAAATAAATGGGTAGGCAGGGTTGAGGCTACCTTCTTGTAATTCCAGGACCTAAAGTTTATCCAATGAATGGTGGAAGATTCAAAAGAAAAAAAATTATTCTTCAACTTTGTACTTCCTGTTACAAAATGTCATGCTGGCCACCAATCTGGTCAGCTTTGACAATAGATGGAGCCTAATTCAAAGGAGACGTTGATCACTCGGGGCTAGTAAAGATGGCTACAAAGTTGTACATAGGATGCCAGAGTCAATAATAGGCTTGTTTGCTTCTAGCCATAATGAACCCCTTTCCTTAAAACAATTTGCACCAACCTACTGTCCTCCTGATGTTACTCATGGCCAGAAAATCTGGGAAAGTCGTGCCCCCAACATATCTGGAAGGCAGTAGGATTCAGAAAGCTGTTGTCAAATTTTTGCTGGATTCCCAGATAAAGTGTTGGTCTGGAAAACCAGCTTCAGTTCTCATCCCAACCACATGTAGGCTTTGGGTGGGTTCTTCAGTCTGCTCAGAATTACAGGGTTGTCAAGCAAAGTCAGGAGAAGACGTAATATTGGTTTGTCATTGTGGGAGGCTAGCTGGATTGTCAGTTGAATCTCCTACATGCGTTACAAGAATAATCAATATATCTCATGATAACAGCGGGGGGTCTGATTCAGCCAATAATGTGACTTCAGACTACATGCTGTGCGTTACGCAACTGGTATCATCCCCGGACATGGGATAGTAGAAGCTTTTTTGAGAATTAGCCCAAAGAGATTCTATTCCGAACAGTTGTTTAGAGGCTAAGTATGCAATCCTCTCCATAAATTACTTTGGTTCTTCTTCCGCTCTCTGGGTATGTCTGGACACACAGACACACACAGACACACATATGCACATCCCAAAACTGGATGCATGCAGAATACATGTCTCTCCCTCAACCTGACCTACAGTGCCAAAAAGTCTCATTATGAGACTTACACCCAAGGAAAGTCATCTAGAGATGCAGGCTTAGGGTTGGAAGAGAAAAGTGGCCATCTTTCTACAGTTGGTTGCTTCCATGACGAGGCGAACTCTGGTTTAAACACAGGGTGTACTTTCTTCCCCCTAAACTAGCGTTGTAATAAATACTAGGGTCTGCCACTAGATGACACTGCAGAATTGCACGTGGATTTTGATCCTGACCTGTCCTTTGATTCAAGCTGAAGGAACAGCGCCATCAAGCTTACTGACAGCACCGTTCCAAGAGGTCAGGTGTCCTGGCCAGCGCTGCCCCAATGATATGAATGTCTCCATTTGTGCCCTTTCGCTTTCCACCACGGAAAGAGAACAATTTGCGGCAAGCAATATCCGTCATCGTCCTGGTGTAGAGCAGGATTTTGATCCTGACCTGTCCTTTGATTCAAGCTGAAGGAACAGCGCCATCAAGCTTACTGACAGCACCGTTCCAAGAGGTCAGGTGTCCTGGCCAGCGCTGCCCCAGTGATATGAATGTCTCCATTTGTGCCCTTTCGCTTTCCACCACGGAAAGAGAACAATTTGCGGCAAGCAATATCCGTCATCGTCCTGGTGTAGAGCAAGTCTAACTCTTTTTTGGGTTTTTTGGGGGTTTTTTTGGTGGGGGGGAGAGCTTGTAGCCTTGCTGCTGAATGATGATGTCACCGATGGCTCACTCAGACACATGCACCACACGGCTGCCACCAACAGATTCCAAGCGGCGGTGGTCTTGCCTGGTCCGGCACTGACCCTCCCCACTTGCCACTCCTGAGATCTTTCTGATGAAGCTCCTTACAACCACCACCACCACACCATGCCCCCTGCCCAGCCAGAAAGACTTCACAGCAGCATGCCTGAGCATCTGCTGACATCGGATGGAGCATCACGATGGGGATGGGGGAAAAGAAGGAGAAATCCTGAGGGCTCTTTTTGACTGTGGCAGGAATGTTGAAAAGAAGGACAGGTATGGGGCAGAAGGAAATGCCAATCATTCAAGCAGCACACCTACGGAGAAGTCCCAGAGGGGAGAGGAGGAAGGAAGGAAGGAAGGAAGGAAGGAAGGAAGGAAGGAAGGAAGGAAGGAAGGAAGGAAGGAAGGAAGGAAGGAAGG